TTTTGGCGATTAGACAAAAATATAAATTATATTTGATGCAACTTTAGTTACATTTCCATGACTTTTCCAAAACTTCAGGGCCTGGAATTAGCATTTTGAATTTCCATGACTTTCCCAGGTTTTTAATGACCGTAAGAACCCTGAATATCAGATATTTAATTCACAATATTGTGGTATCCATAGAAATTGGAAAAAGGTGGCGATGAACTTTATTACTAACCAAAAAAAGAAAAAGGCACTAGCTTAGAAAAACAATCGTACCATGAGTGTTTAATTTGAAGTGAACACTGATGGTAAAAAAGTAATGCCTTTACTCTGTATACAGAAATTGATTGTTTTATTGCCTGACAATTAATGTCATAGGATCATGTTAAACTGACCTCTGATCTGCTCGTTTCTTTTTCATATTACCTTCTTGCATAAAACAATGCCATCTATATATTGAACGCACCTGTCCTTGGAAGGCATCAATAATGAACTGTAGGGCCTGAGGCTGGACGCACTCGATACACTTCTGCACCACATGGTTGCCATTCTGGTCCTTGACACACTTCAACACGTGGCCATCCAGCTCGCGGACAATGTCGCTCTGAAGAGGGGAAGTTAGGGGAAGGAGGGAAAAATGTTAACAAATGTCCCCATGTAGGCGTATTATAACAAAATAAATAGTTAGCAAGAACTTTGTTTAAAAAAAAAAAAGTATCATCTCACTTACAATTACCTGCTGGTCAGAGGAAATGGACTCCAGGGCTTTCTGAATAACTCTGCAGCCGTACATCTGCAAAGCCAGGGGAAGGACGTGTCCACGGATACGTGTTGCCAAAGCCAGCTTCTGGTCTGCACTCCCAAACTGCACCACATAAAACAAAGTATTTAGCACACACACACATACTCAAGAAAGTCTCTCTGGTCTTGTATCTGTTCAGATAGAGATCGACTTTAAAAACAGTCCTTACCTCAAAGAACTTTTGTATGACATAGTTCCCAAACACATCAGTCATCAGCTGGTATGCTGCTTGCAGAATCTCTCCGAAAACCATCTGCCTCTCAGCTGGAGTGGCTCTCTCTAGCTTCTGTTGGATAAATCTAGACAGATGAGAGGAAAAGATGTTTGTCAGATTTTGGTGCAGACACAATGCAAGGTAAAAGAGTTCAAATGCCTTTTTCAGCCAAAGAGCTGAAATATCTTATCCACCTGGATCCATGCTGGTCCTGAGAGAACTCCACCATGTGTCCCGGCAAGTCACGGAGTTGAAGGTTGGGGAAGCGGTTATTCCTGAAGTCTTCCAGTAGGCGACTGCGTCCGGACGGCATGACATCAGAGCGACTGTAGCGGGGCCGAGACGGAGGGAACAGCTGGCTGCTGGAATTGAAGAGACTGGACGTCCCGCCGGCACTCCGGTACTTGGCCTCAGCTCCAGGCGCTGCAGAGATGTAGCGGCCGCTGCCATTCGTCAGGCCACCTAGGGTAACAGGATGAGCGGATACTGTAGTGGTGACAGCAGTTGACCATGATTGTTATTCATTTTAGAACAGTGTACACATTGGTCAAAAGAAACATTTAAAAGAATGAATATTGAGATAAAGTCAAATTAAATAATGTAAAACATTAGATAATGATTGAATAAAAGGCATACCTAGGTGAAGGCTGGAAGAGGATCCATGAGAGGAGGGCAGAGAGGGTGGAGGAGTGAGTGGAGAGTGACCTGGGGTGAGGCCAATGGGGCTGGGCGAAGAGGAGTAACCCAGGCTGTTGTAAAAGGGCTGGCCGATGGGAGTTAAGTTGCTGTTACCGCGTTTGTAAAGGTCAGCACTTGCCAGCAGGGAGTCCCGGCGAGATACACTGCTACTAGTAGAGCTTGATACTGCAAAGAAACAGAAACAGTGTGAGAAAGCAGACTCCTAAAAGTAAAGTGTATCCTTGTCTAGCTTGTGGCAAAGTTACTGACCAGAGGAGCCGAAGCCTCCGAGAGCAGAGCCCAGGCCGACGCCGAGCGAGCCGCCGGTGTTGCTGAAACCCAGGGAGGAGTTCTGTTGCTGCGCAGCTGAGGTGTGTGAGAAGAGGGAGCTGCTCTGAGAAGTGTTGGGGACCGATCCAGAGCCGTAGAAGGAGCTGGAGGGCAGCCCGCCGCTGGGTGGGGGGGCCTGCTGCTGCTGCTGCTGCTGTTGCTGCTGCTGCTGCTGCTGCTGCTGCTGTTGTTGCTGCTGCTGCTGCTGCTGCTGCTGCTGCTGCTGCTGCTGAGGCATGGAGCGGTACAGCCCGTTGCCTGGAGGACCAGACATGTTGTTACCGGAGTTAGAAGCTGACACCGCAGCTGCTGGTGGACGGAGAGAGGAGAGTGTGAGGGGCACAAGGAGAGCTGAGGGCAGAATGACCCCGGGTGGTACTCATTGAGTAAGAGCAGGGAGGGAGGAGTAGATAGACATATTGAAAAGGATGACAGGTGGACTAGTACTCACCAGCTTGTGCTGCTGCTGCAGGGTTGAGGAGGAGAGGAGTCTGGACTAAACGAACGGGACCACCTAGGCCAGCTCGACCTGGGCCCATCACAAGGGCCCCATTCTGGTCATAATAGGCTGCAGGGGCCAACACCTGGTATCCTGAGATGAAGAACATGAAAAGGTTGTTACTACAAATGAAACAACTTTAATAAGTCACTAAAGAACACAATACCAAAAACATATAGAAATACAAAACATAGTTAAAAGAAAATTCAAATGACTACATCTAGTAGGGAAGTTAAATGTATATGGCTGTATTGTATGTGGAAGTAGTGGTGTACTTACCAGACATACCTGCGTACGCCAACGCAGGGTTTGCGGCAGCTGCTGCGGCGAGAGACTCCTGCTGACTCTGCTGTCCCTGCCCCGGAGTGAGGGGCCGCTGGTTGTTTCCCTGCCGCATCACCTGGGAGGAGACGGGGAGGACATTGTCACAACTACAGCTTCCCCAAAGGCACTCGCAGAGTTTAACCATATTTAGCTTTTTATGGTAAAGTTGAGCTAATCTGCATCATCAGGACTGTGTGGCTTTGGTTCTAGCAGTTCTGAATGACAAATGCCTAGCAACATAAACAAACAACCCCCAAACTGGCATCAAATTGTGATTCAAATCTTCCTCAATTCTGATTGGTGCACAGAGGAATGCGGCCATTTTTTTCCAATAGCGGCAAAACCACTTTTAACACAAGGACAGGAAGATAAATACAGACAGTTGTTACTCATTTGAACTGTATATTGACATGAACTGCACTTGAATTTATAATCTAAGATCATATATGATTTTAAGTCTTAAGCTGAACAGCATATGATCAATATGTAATTTAAAGAAACCCACACCCAGAAATCTGTCTAATGAAGAGGGCAGCCATCTTGAAGTTAGTTAAACAGTGGCAGTGTTTTTGTTTGTTCCAACTATAATATACTTTCACATGTGCAGCTCGGTTGTCATGACCTTTATAGTCCATCTGTACATGGCCATGTTCTTGAATGTGAAGTTAACTAATCCGTGCTTGACGTATTGAGCGCATTTCAAAGTCATGACATAAACCAAACTTGCATAAATCTGCGCCAACTAGCTTTGAGTGGTGTTTAGGAGATAGCTTAATCTGGGTGCAACTCGTCATTCAGGTGCTTTTTAGGGCCACCTTTGCAAAACAACCCTCTGATCAAATGCACTTCTTACCTGCTGTTGGCCTGGCCCTTGTCCCTGATTGGATGCTTGCTGATTAGCTGAGTGATTGGCATTTGAGGCAGCCTGCTGCTGGAAAAGGTTGGCCGGGTACACGCCCCAGGGAACACCATAGTACTGTGGAGGGACCACTGTGGGGCCTGAAGGAAATGGTGATGTTACATACAGATCAACTGAACTCAACCAGAACAGAAGTGCATGTCAAAGACAAAAGCCTTAACAAGAGCTCAAAAAAGGCTGAAATTGTTTTTGTATGATCACCTGCAAGCGAGGCGGCTGCTGCCAGACCAGCGGCTGTGTAGGGGTCGGTTCCAGGGGGGCCAGCATTAATGATGTAAGGGTTTGGCACAAACGCTGGAGCAAGGCCAGCTGCGTATTATGAGGAACAGTAATGATTTTATATTTCCATATCAAATGAATATGCATTATTGAAAACAGATCTCTAGAGACAGAAAAGTAGTTGAACGATATTACACAGCACACTGTGGAAGATGCACAGTCCCACTTACCCAGATGCTGCTGCTGGGCTGCAGCCAGGGCATATTGCTGCTGCTGAGCTGCACTGAGCTGCTGCACCGTGAGGGTATTTGATCTCTGGAACAACTGGACCAAATAAAATAAGAAAACAAGAAAAAGGATCAAATTCTGTTGAATGATCTTACAATCATCTCTCTTTAAGGATGCGTTGTGAGATTCAACCAACCTGCTGCTGGGAGTTGTAGTCAAACATTCCTACTGGAGTTCCTGAGGAGTCCACCTGAATCTGGTTCCCGGCGTAGTCGAACTGGAGGGACTCCACTCCGGCCTGCTGCTCCATGCCTCCCATGTTCTGGGGTTCCTGGTTCTGGAAGTCCTCAGGTCCTTTGTTCTGTGCGGGGTTGTGATGTTGGAGGACATGTTGGTGGTGCTGTGCCATCATCTCCATACCCGGCTGACTGGGACCCATTCTCTCCACAGCCTCAGTGGGGGAAGCTTGGCGGCTTCCAGGGGTCAGACTGAAACCAAAGAAGCACAAATAGCAAATTAGAAGGAAACTTTTCCTTAGGAAGAAGGTCTATTATAGTTGTTAAGACGATTAGCTTTTATATTTAAATTAACTCGCCTATTTGGACCATTTTATTATGTTTAGGCTTGAAATGGAAGGATAATCTAAAACAAGAGCTTCAGATGAGGATTCAAAAACGAATTCAAATCTCAATCACATTGGATCGCCATTTGAGTTATGATTGAAGAACAAACATACTTGAAATCTTTGCAGTCTCTGTCCATGCCGTTTAGTAGACCTCTTCCGTTTGCTTTAGCGGGATCATTCTCATCTCCCACCTTCTCTGGGCTCTTGTCCTCTTCAAAGGGGGATACTTTCTCTTGTACATCAATCTTCTCTCTCCCATCTTGATCAACATCTGCTCCACCCTATATTCATAAAAAAAAAGAAAAGAAATAAAGGTTAAGACTATTTGCCTTCCACGGCAATAACTTTTAATGAGTAGGAGATGGCCCCATTTTGAAACAAAAAGCTAAACTTACATAGCCTCCATTCCTGTAGCGACCGTCCATCTTGTCCCCAGGAGAAGAGCTCAGGACGTACTCCACCATGCTCACCCCCAAGCCTCCGCCTTCTGAGCGAGGTGAAAGCACAGAATTGGCATCACCATTCCCATGGAAACTCTGGCCTGGTCGCCGCTGCACCATGATTGGCTGAGACACTGAATGATCTGAATGAAAAGCTGTGATCAGACATCGTAATAGTCGTGTACATAAACCAAGCTGGGTAAACAACACAGTCATAGTCATGCAACAGTGAAAGTCAATAGGTGATCAGAGGTGCTATTTTCAGCCATGAAATTTGTCTTAAAATGAATTCTTGATCTTGAAATGATAGCTACTTGAGAATACAATAAAGACATAGGAGCCACTCACGTGATGTTCCCCATGCATTGTCCCTCCACTCCTCTCCAAGAAGCATCCCTTTCCTTCCATCCTTGGCCAGCTCATCAGAATCCCAGAGCTTTTTTGCTGGCAGATGCTACAAATAAATTGTAGAAATTTGAGATGAGTAAGTAAGATGTCTTATGCCGTGTAATATGTCAACCATAGTTTATTTAAAATCTGATGTTTAGGGATAAACATTTTCCCATTACTAATACTCAATGAAAAAACTCCCTTCAAACTTATATACAGTTATTGCGGCTGCAGAGATCATGAAGAAAAACATCCTGCAATACACTGAAGGGCCCTGTCCAACCCAATCTGATTTGTGTAAAGGCAGCAACATACAAATGTCTTATTGTTAACTTCCAAGCCAAGAAAAAGAGAGTGGTGCATACAGATTCCTACTTTGATATAAAGCTGTACTGCAGGGTTTTGTCAAAACCGTGTAACAGGGGCGCTGCGCCCTCATAGCAAAATGTCAATTTCCCCCGTAAAATGTTAAAGTGATGCCAGAAAACAATATCTCGGTTTGTCAAAAACTATGTAATTACTCAAAAAAAAACCTGTGTCAAAAAGACTGCCAGGAGGCCTTGACAGTTTTGTTTTTACGGAACTCCGAATAAATAGGGGATGGATTTCCAGTCGGTCGGCGGACGAGTGGCAGGCAGAAGGCCTACACTTAAACTGTGATTTCGGAATAAGATTGTTTCTTTTACTGTCCTTTTTTTCTGTAGAGGAAGTAACAAAACCATAACTCAGGATTCACTTGTTGTTTGAGGAGCAATATATGACTCCGCAGCTTTAAGACATGAAGAATCTATTATTTTCCAGTTTGCTGTAATGCATTATTTTCACCCGAAAGTGGGCGGGCCCGTAATTTTGGCTGGAACTGACGTTAGCCCCCTCATACTATATTTTTCTATAAAAAACCCCAGTACTGTAATTGAAAATAGACAGACGTTAGGAGGAAAACCTCTTACCTCTCCCATGCCCCTCGACTCCAAAGCAAGAGCCTGGAAGTCGTAGTTCATTTCATCTGCAGCACGGACCTGAGACAAAAGAAGAAAACATGGACTGTAACCAAAAAGCTTTAAGCACTAAATAAGAGGAGACCAAAAAGATATGTTCTGATCACTAAGTAGCAATTGGTATTTGTTCAATTTTACCCTGAAGAAAAATTAGGTTCTGTGAAAAAACTAAATAACCAGAATATTTCAAGAGGCCGCTCAGCCAACAAAAGCTTGTTCAATACTGAGGATTTCAACAAGGTGCTTTATAACAAATAGGCCACAATACATCCACATTTCCTTTGAAATGTGTAATTCTAAATGTGTAAGCCTAATTAGCTTTCCATAAGTTATCCTAATCACCAGAGTACAGATCCAGGAGGATTTTCATAAACTGAATGAGCCATTGTTCATTTTTCTGCACTCAGGCTGATGATGCTGGAACTAATTTGGATGTTTAAATGTCAAGATAACAATCATAGCACTAGAACACTAAAAGGACTTAACAAAACAGAAGAGCTAGGCCCAATTTATTTTCCCTCCGGACCATCCTGATTCTGTTACACATGATTAACAGGGTCATATTTTAAGGCAAAAAACTGATGTAATGCAACATTAACCCAGACAGACACAGCTGTAAAAACAGAAAACAGGTTACACCGAAACATTGTTCAACAGGCACTTATTAATGCATACAATGGACCTGACATGGGTTTATCTCTCGGCCCCATGACATGCGTCTCAATAATTGGAAGGTTGGCCCGAAATAAGTGTTAGAATAGATTCAAATTGTAAAGAGAGATCTTTTTCTTTTAAATCACAAAAACATATCAAACCTTAACCTTCTTACTAGCTTATTGGTTGGGTTTTGGTTGGATAGAGCTAGTGAAATAATTCCAGTCTAGTCCATCCTAATAAACATACTTTAAATAAAAAAACAAAACATTAACTTATTTTTAATTTTCAGCATTGTCTTTTTATAGCCTAAACTCATGTTGGTTAAGTGAGGTGGATGTGACGCTACATGTACCAGTAAGAAGATCAAAGTCAAATGCAGGAAGTGAAGTTTGTGCAACAAAGAAAGAAATCTCAAAACTGTTTAGATGCCAAAACACTGCACAGCTGTTCAATTCTGGTAGACAGGGTATTAGAAGTTAGACTGGTTATCATAGCGACAGTCACTCTGCAGCTGTGCTAACAGTGGACAAAGCTCTGGTCTGACTAGATTTGCCTTCTGCAAATGAGAAGGTTGCATTTTTTTAACAACCAATGCTGTTGCTGCCCTAACACGCCTGGGTCTTGTGGTGGCCCCGTGACGGACTGGTGATCTGTCCAGGGTTGACGGCACCTCTCAACCAAAGTGTGCAGGGAGAAACTAATACTCAGTCCTTTTTGTTAAGACGCCTCGATTCTTTTTATTTGGCTGGTAGTGGTAGTATTCAGAGTGTTCTAAAGAGAAAACCTACTGGACCGACAGTCCTTTCCTCTTGATGTATTATTGCCTGAATATGTCTGGGTCGTACCTAATATAAATTCAAATTAATGAATGAATAAGGCACCAACTCTACTGTAGTAAATATTTCCATTTTATTTTTTGTCAAATACAACTGACTGTTTTAGTCAATAGAACCTCCCAGTTGTCAACAATGTTCTTTAACCAACAAACCCTTCTTTTTTTTTGGCATGTAGAAGTCCTTTATATTTAATGAAAGTAGAACAACTCCTTGGCATATCGGAGACAAATTCTGCACCCTAAAGCATTACCCTCTACCAACAAAACCTGTGATTTTAGATCAAGAGATCCAATTTCAATAAAACAATATTGATGGTTATTGATGAATGTCTGGCATGTGGTGTAAAACATAATGGATAAACAGAGCATGTGACCTGAATTTAATCAAATAATGTAACACTAAGTGCAAATGCTTTACCTGATCAACATGATTAGCATCACCAGTTGGCCAGCGATGCTTGCTGGGTGTGCAACCTCCAAGCTGCTCCCCGGGCTGCCTCTGAAAGAAGTATCCAACGGTGGCGTCATCCTGAGACCGTCCACTCAGTGGAGGCTGCGGGGTACCCGGGGTAGGGTGAACAACCCTTTCCATTCCCTGTAAATGTGGGACTACAGCAGCTTGTCCAGCTACTCCAACGTGAACTCTGACACCTACGGACTCAGGAGCGCCATTTGCATGCAGCATCCCACCTCTTGTCTCCTGCCAGGCCACGTCATTCATACCTAGGATGCTGCATGGAACGCTCATTCCACGGTAAAGCCTACACAAAACAAAGAAGATAGACAAACAAATGTTATGTTGACATGGGTATTCAGACTCGTTTCATCCCCCTTTTGTGGTTTTCTGCATAGTAATAACATCATTACTTTTAATAGACTTTAAGTCTGACACAAGTAAGTCAGTAATATGGTTTAAGTACCTTCTTTTTATTTATATAAAGTCAATGTAGCACCAATTTCAAGTTGACAGTTTACCATATACAGTGAGGCTTTAAGGAAATAAAATGCTGCAAGTAAAACATGTGGGCGTTATTGCTGAATTTATTGTGAGGAAAAGTACACCTTTATAAAAGATTAAAGGGAAAGTTTTCACCCAAAAGATTACTACACGTATAACAGGTAGGCTACCACTTATTTTCTTCGCCGGAAAATGACAAATTCCCGAGATGCTAACTTCGTGCTACGACTATAACAATAGTTTATGTTGCACAAGACTTCAAAATGTAGTTGACGGATAAAACTGGGCATTTACATAAAATGGGAAGTCTAATTTCGACGGTTTAATCATTCACGAATGGGTAAGGCAAGAACAAAACAGATAACTGACGAGCATGTTGATGCATGAATGCTAGCTAGCGTTGTCTTTAGGCTAGTGTTAGCTGGTGATCATGGCAAACGAAACGCTACCGTTAATGTTACTAGTGATGCAAAAACACTCGATGTTATCGCATAACATTGCGTATTGTTTTCCCACTACAAGAACCATCGGTAATGTTTTACTAGCTGCACTGATATATCCAACATTACTAGTCGATGTGACAAACCGATGTGCAAGCCTTCAATCAAGCTAACGATGTTAACCTAGCCTGCTAGCCCGTTGCTAACAAGCAAGCTAGCCTAGCCGCTTTGACTTATTATTTACGTTACTTATATTTCCAAATGTTTAATAGCTAGCAATTCCTTGATTTGTTGCATAGCATTGTATGTTTGTTACAGTGCACGTCTTCGTCGGTACTAGCTGATATCGCTTTTGTTTATTGTTCTCAAGTGATACTTCACAGGAGCATTAGCAGCCAGCTAAAAAGCTAACGCTAGCGGGGCCTGCTGTTTATTATTGGTTTGGCGATCAAAGTTACATTTGTGAATTCACGATTGTCTTACAGTAGCGTGTGGGCTCACCTGTTCGATGGAAAACCCGTAAATGTTCCTTGGATTGTAATAAAGCGTTGGTTGAATGCAGACACGCCAAATAAACCCAAATAGCTCGGAGCTAGCACACGCTTATTGCCAAGTTGTGAGCTAAAACATGAAGCAAACACTGAGTGGCTAAACAACATGGCCCCCCTTCAAGTTCCAAACAGAGGGGCCTTAACCGCTAAACAAAAGGGGAAATACTCACAGCACGGCAGTCGAGTTTAAAATAGTCGCTTTGCACAGCTTTTGCCCTGAACACATAAAGAGGAGATACTCACGCGTTGTCTTGTCGAGAGAGGGTCTCTGCTTGTAGCACGCCGTCAACCCAATTATATATTGTTTTGTTTCCTTGGAGAGAGCGGTGATTTAGCAAGGCTTGATAGTCAAAGCTAAGAGTTTGCCTACGCTAGTGCCCCCTCCCTGTAAATAGCGTGAACTACGTAGACATGCGTATAACAATGTCGAATTGAATTTGCCTTCCCCACGTACCTTTGTTACACCATGGCAATATCTATTTTATATGATAAGCAACCTGACATCCATCATGTTGTTCAAATAAGCATTTCCCATAAAACTTCTTATTTAAATATATATTTTAGTTGAATTCGAGCGTATTGAATACTAGACTTGTATGGACAAAGGATTATCTTTAACCAAATATATAATGTTTAAATTCGGACATGGGGAATGTTTAATGACGCTCAGCCCATAAAACACGTCGTCTTAGAGAGGAATAATAAAATAAAAAAAGCCGTGTTCATTATGCAGTTTGATGATTCGGATGATTTAAACTGATCCTGGGTCGGGCTTGTCCTCGTGGTCCATGACCCTCCTCTCCATAAGGGAACTCGGTGAGATCCAATCAACTCTTCCTCTACAAACTGTGAGCTCACCTCCCTATTTCCGATTGGATTGCTATATTTAGGAAACCACCCTATGCTTTATAAAGAGATCGCACTGTTCCTGGTCGATTTTCTGGAATTAGGAGGCAGGAGTGCCTTACGGGATACGTCTAATTTAGACTTTAAAGGCAGAAGGAGTGACTACAACGGGCACATCTGTGTGTTTGATGCCACGTTTAAGCGAGCAGTAGGAAAAAGGAAGGAATGGCAGACATACGGAAGAAACTTGTCGTGGTGGGGGACGGCGCATGTGGGAAAACATGTCTTCTTATTGTATTTAGCAAAGACGAGTTTCCCGAAGTGTATGTTCCGACTGTGTTTGAGACATATGTGGCGGACATAGAGGTGGAAAACAAACAAGTCCAGCTAGCTTTGTGGGACACAGCTGGACAGGAGGACTACGACCGGCTGCGCCCCCTCTCCTATCCGGACACCGATGTCATTCTGATGTGCTTCTCCGTGGACAGCCCGGACTCGTTGGAAAACATCCCTGAAAAGTGGGTCCCTGAAGTCAAACACTTTTGTCCGAATGTACCCATTATATTAGTGGCCAACAAGAAAGATCTGCGCAACGACGAGAACGTAAAGAACGAGCTGTCCCGGTTGAAGCTGGAGCCCGTGAAGGCAGAGGATGGCCGGGCCATGGCCATGCGCATTGGCGCATATGACTATTTAGAGTGCGCTGCCAAAACCAAGGAGGGGATCTGGGAGGTATTCGAAACCGCAACACGGGCTGCCTTGCAGAAACGCAAAATACCATCAGGAAGTTGTCTCAAATGCTGTGTTTTGATGTGAATCAACGCATACAACTGTGACGCGCAGACAATATGCTCCCTCCGCTGGGATCTGTGTCTTAACATGTACGGGCAGAGACAATGGTTTGGATACTCCCATGTAATCACACGACCTTGGTCGAACCAAACCCAATGACTGCAAACAGGTTGTTTTCAACACCCTCGATGATGGGTTGATATCGGGGCGTGTGTCTGTGAAATGCACTGGTTACAGCATGTTATTTGTTGTCACATGATCCTTTTCTGGCAGGTTAAGAGGTAAAAAGGTCAAGCTTAATATCAGTGGATGCCTTATTTATCCCCTTTTCTAAAGGCCTGCTTTCGAGCCAAGGTTAAATGTGCTTACTTTTTGTGTTTCAAAGTGTTTGCATAGGCCACTGCCTTACTGCCACAGTAATACTTTGTAATAAGCAAAGCAGTAAAAAAAAATTGCACTCGATATTAATGTCCACTTTGTATTGTAAACAATGACTATTTAGTTTGTGAAATTGCACAGCATCTGGACACCACAGTGATTCACAGACAGTTTTATGAGAAGTTCAAGTCAGATCAAGGATGCCTGAGGTCTTCTGTATAGTTTATTGTGATGTTTTACGCCATTTTGAATAAAGACATAGCTTACGTTTACAGTTAAAGAAATCAGTTGTCTCAGGTTTGTTAAAAGTATGTTGTCGACTCCAGTATTAAATGCCTAGTTTAGTAGTTCCTACAACAGGTAAAATACACATTGAAGTTCAAAGAGACTAAACATTGGCCAGCATTAAAAAAAGGCCAACCACATTGTCCAGTGTAGTTAATTCCAAGTATCTTGTCAAATGTACAAACAGTTAATAGAAATATATAATTTTTACGTTTGCTAAGCATGTTACTACCTTCCCTTATAGCTCACCTGAACCCAACCTTTTTAAGCACTAAGTATCTCACCATGTTTCTGAATTTGATATCCAGGTCTAGCTGTTTTACAGGCTGGAATATCTCAGCTGTGTTGTAGTAGACCTTTTCTATTTAGCTACAGCTTCCTTTACAGTTATGGTGTTGATATGTCCAAGAGAAGATCAAGCATGTGTGATGGTTTAGCATGTGAGTGCTATGCTCAGTTAAACTTGTTTTCTTGGAAAATGTCAAGAAAGAAGAATGTGCTATGTCAGAGCTCTATGAGCCAGTAGAACAGGGTTATGTTGGGTAATGGAAGGGTGTGGTAATTAAAAAGAAAAAAATGGAATTGTTTCATATGTTATTAAATCACAATATTATGATAATTACACAAAAGGGTATCCCTTTGAGAAAAACAGTACTGTTTTATTTATGAAGATGTTTAAATGTGTTTACAGGCGTTAAGCTGAGTTATTAATAAGAGAAACAATTCAAACTTTCCATATCAATGTCTTCCATTATGACTGTGAATGTACCTCAAATTTGTTATGTCAAAAATATTGTTGGAGCTTTGAAGTTGGCATCAGTATTTAACGAATTTGAGCCAAAATTCCATCTTGTGTAATAAATTAAACTCATGTTTAATCTGTGTCTAAACAAAAGTGCTGTCCTCTTACAGGATGGTGGGAGTGCTGGTTTAAATGACAACTATGAACATCAATTACAGAGGGTGTTGCAACACTGTGAATCCAGGATATAAATCCTTGGTGGATTCACTATACAAGTTGTTCTTTTAGTGACAGAGAAACAAAATTTTTCTTAAAACATGCCATTTTCAGTGGTTAATTAAACAACAATTACTAAGATAAATCTAATAAGTTTATAAAGACTATCTTTTATAAATCAAACCAGATACAATGGTGTAAAAGTCACATTCCTCCCTGCCTTCTGTTGCTGGGCTTTTTGCTGACTTACAGGACAGGAATGCATTGTGCTCGACTGGTTAATTTTCCCACTCTGGCCCCCCTCATGTGCCTCTGATTTCCAATGTTGTAAGGTTATTATTCAGTGATCAGACAGGGCAGAGCATCATGTTTTATGAAAACAGAAAAGTGCTGAAATGTGCCAAACACATTTGTCTTTAAGAGTTTATCATGACAACTTTATTGTAATGATATAATGTTTAGGTTTGAATGGGATTTCTTTTGAGGAAAAACAATACAGTATAAGGGAACAAGCGGTAATGTTTTGGGAAAGTCAATAAAAAAATCAATGTGTCACCACCTTTTACTCTCACTTTTTTGCCTAATTTTCTCAAACTAAAGACACACACTTAGTGTTGGGGTTAAGCTGGCATATGTTTCAACCAAGTCAGAAGTCAAATAATAAATGTATCTACAATTATGTGACCTTAATGTTTGGGATTTTTGTTACTTTAAACAATAACTTTAATATAGGTATTAAGATTATTGATGAAAAGCAACAAAAGTATATTTACTGATGTAAATATTGGAGGTAGTTGTACTGTACAAGTATTTCCGTATAATTTATTGCATATTTAATATGGTTATTTAATATTTAAAATAATTCTCTTTAACTATATTGAGTTGACTATATACTTTTGATATTTTACATACATTTAGCTGATATAACTTCTGCATTTTAACATAAGTGAGATTTTAAAAAGAATGTACAATGTATTTTTCCAAATGTTGTATTGCTACTTTTGATTAAGTAAATACACTGAACACTATTGATTATAACAAATAGCCAATAGCCATCACAAAGAAAAACACAATTCATGCATTACAAAGGGTGAATCCATTTTAAGACTTAGCTTTTACATATAATAGTATGTTTACAACAACTGTCAACCTGACTCACTTGTTCTCGTTTTGTGAAAAGAGAACATGTGTTTCACAGATGCTATTTGTGTCTCTGTTAAATTTAGACCCAAGGATACAAATGACTAATGGGCATAAGACAGGGCATAGTGAGCTTTTTCAAATGTTACTTTATTGCGACCTGTTCAGTATGCTGTGTTGGTTTTGTACCCTTTATATAGTCTTTTTGAGGGAAGCAGCTTGAAATCAAACTGTTTTTAATGTATGGAAAATACCAATTCATACATTAGCTGGAATAATACAGCTGAAGAAATGTTATTGTGGTGTAAACATTTTAGCACTTTAAGTAATTCTTACTTTTATAAGTCTTTAAAGAAGTTTTGTTTTAGTCTTATGTTCAATTATATAAAATAAATACAAAGAGATGTAAAATATGCAGTACAAACTGTCTTTATTGAAGGCCACATATTGTTTTTAAATAGTACAAGACACAAAGGGAGCACAGTAGGACCAGAACAACTGGGAGTCTACTGTGAAATAACAAACAAAATTAATAATTGGAAAAACCGAACAGAGATAAACATTATTGTTACACAACAGATACAGTCAATACAAACACTGATATATATCCTGGTTAGCCATGGTCAGTTGGTTGACTTATGCGGAAAATGATAAAGGAATGTTCACTTCCAACTGTCTATCACCTACTCTCACATATGGTTCAATACTTTGGCTTTTCTCCTTAAGTGTCTTAATGACATTGTTGTGGAAAGTGTTCACACGTTTTGCCAATAAGTCAATCCAGGACTGGATGTCGGCTTGAAGCTGTTCAAAAGACATGTCAGCCAAAATAATCTGGAGTTTAGCTTTCACAGCTTGAAGATATTCTACAACAATTTTGCGGGCCTCTTCAACCTGCCTGGTAACATCAGCCAGGACCTGAGAGTTGATGGCATCATCGTATACTTCAGACATAAAGTTTGAGAGCTTTTCTACGTTTTGAGATTTAAGGGTTTGCAGAAACTTCTCACTTTGTTCAGTGGTAAACTGCACAAATCCAGATAATTTATTAATGACATCTTCCAGCTGAATTTCCCCCAGTTTCCTAACAGTGAGAATAACTTGGTCCTGAATTTTCTTCAAAGCTACAAACAAGTCATCAAGAACTTCTCTTCCAATGACAACGTGGTTAGAGCCAGGAAGAGTGAATTCAATGGCTTGGACATAATCAAGGACCGCTTTAAACATGGAGGCAAAATACTCTGGAACCCTTTGAACAGCCTCCTCAGATACATCAGCAATAAAAGTACTTAATTCCTGGTAAGCCTCGAGCCCAGACAGCCTCTGTTCATACCCAGGGAGCTGGAACTTGGTCTCTCTCAGGAATTTAACAACAGCATCAAGGACAATTGCAACTTTCTTTTGGTATTCTTGGAGGATCAAAATGGTCTTATCTGTGACAGTTGTCATAACAATAGAAGGGTTTACTGCTGCAAGGTTGCCAAATGCCCTCTTGAACATCTCTTTACCCTGATCTTTAGCCTGCTCAAAAGAACCCTCAAGGCTTCTCGCTTGTCTGTAGATGGTGTTATATGTGTTGACAGCAGGATCAGATACCATTTCCATTACTGCGGGCACCTGTTTCTTCAGTCCCAGCACCATCTCATATGGCATCTCCATGTTCCAGGTTGTCTGAAGGTTCAGCTTCTCAGAGTTCATCACAGACATCTTCAGACCGAAGATATCAATGTCGTTTGTTGGCTCGGACTGTGTGGTAAAAGGAAAAAAGGTTAAATATATTACTAAAAATAAATATACTGATTTTAATGAAATCACAATGAAAGGTTATTAATCAGGAAAAGTTATCTTACCGGGTAGCGACCGTAGACTCTTGCTTTAATTTGAGCTGGGCGCTTAGTCTGCATCTGAAGTGCAACAAGTCCTGCAGATGGAGTGGACATAGAGACAACAAGGCCTTCCTCTGGATTTCCAGTAATCTCCTGATAGACTTCCATGGTCAGGACAGGTAGATTGATCTTTGCTGAATTGGTGATGGAAGTATCCACATTTTCATAGCTTAAGGTGAGAGTGCTCTCATGGTTTCCCTCAAACATTAAATGTTTCACAGACAGGACAGAGGCCATTTTAATTCCACCAACTTTGTTCAGGTTGGCGTTGCCCTCAATCTTTCCATTCAGAATCTCAAACTCAGAGGTTGAGGAAGCGTCAAATTTAATGAGAATGCTTTCCTGGTTAAGGATGCTGGCATCAGTTTTGAGAGTAACCATTGCTGTTTTCATGGAGCACTCGTAGGTCAGATCCCCCAGTACTGGAATTCTAATGTTCTGAATTTTGGGCAGAGTGATTTTTGGAAGAGTCAGCTTGCTGAGGGCAGATGGAACATGCAGAGCAGGCATTGTGATGAGACTGGCGTCGGGGAGGGGAATGGTGAATGAGGACACCTCGATATTAATCACAGGAACTTTGTATGCAGGAATTGTAATGATTTTGGGCAAATCAACGCTGTACTTTTCATACTCTGCCTTGGCTTCTTCATAAGTTGATACCAGGACAACAGCAGCCTTATCTTTGTGGATGAGCGCTTTCTTGTGCAGAGTCTTGACATTCTTATTAATGAAATTGATGAGTGGCTCCACATTGATGTCAATTGTAATCACCTCAGGGTTCTTCATGTACTTCAGCTTGGAGTTCATGTCAAATGTCTGCTGAGTAGTGATCAGGAGGTTGCTCAGGCCAGTGTCTTCCCACAGAGAGTAGTCTTCCACTTTTGGTGTCGTCAAACCAATAAATGGCACAGTCATTTCTGGAATGGTGATGGGCTCCTTTAGCATATCCAGATTTGCTTCTCCATTGATCTGGGACAATATGTTGATTTCACTGTCACCATTTTCCATGGTGAAGTAATGGGAGTATTTGTACTGATTGAATCTAGCCAGACCGTTCCATATAGCCTGCTGCGTTTCAGAGTTCAGGGTCAAAGACATGTCATTCTGGAGATCCATCTTTCCAGACAGCTTCAATGGAAGGGTAACCTTGACATTTCCCTTGTTCTTGGTGTCAAACATAAGCTCACTAGGTGTGATCAAAGCAAGTGCAGAGTTTGAGAGAGTTCCTTCAACCTTTCCTGCCAGCTCAACACTGTGAGAGGCAGTTAAATCAATTTTCATGTCTCCAGCATTAGCCTGGAACTTGACCTCTGCAACGCTTCCCTTCATGAAAGGTGTTTCTGTCTCAAACTTGGAATTAATAATAATGTGGCGGAAGATGCAGATTTCAGCATCCACATTTTGATTCAGTTTGAACAAGATGCTATCTGTTGCTCCAATGAAAGTCATTTTGGCAGTGTGGAGATCCATGACCACCTCCATGTCACTCTTGTGGTTTATCTCATCTACGATGTCCAAAATTGGCGCTGACCATTTTTCATTGGCCACATTGGTAACGGTCAGACGGGCAGTTCCAGCTTCAATCTGGAGGACATTCTTTTGATTTATCATGATTAGGGAATTTCTGAAGAGGGGCACTTTGAGGTCATGTTTGTAGACAGTCTCCACAGTGGCAGAAACTCCATTTTCCATTGCAAAGAATGCATTGTTGACCAGCTCGGCAAAAAAGACCTCAGTGTTCACTTTTCCAGTAGTGTCAGCAGAAGCTTGAGCTGACAGGCCATAGAGAGTCATTGATCCCTTGTGGTCAAGTGAGAAACATGACTGATCAATTTTAATGTTCTCCGAGAAAGACAGGCGACTCATCTTCGGCACAGCCAAATGAGCACTGGCATCGATGGTGTAGTCGAGGATTTGCAAAGTAGATGTAGCCTGTGAGTTAAGGTTGATTTTGAACTCTGGTGTGTCTGATGTAATTGTGGTGTTCTCAAAGTCAGCAGTGGTCTTAAGTTTGAGTTGTGGTATGTTTACTTTCAACTCTCCGGAGAGTTTTCCAAAACAGGGAATCTTGCTCATATCTGCCACTTTCTCTTTCAACTCCACAGTGAATGTGTCATAATCAAAAGATCTGATTTTCTGAACCATCCTCATGAAATAGTCTGTCATGTCATCAATCAGCTGTTTGAAGTTAAAGGTATACAGTTCATTCACAAGGTCCTGAACAGGTGCCATCACTTTTTCGAGCAAGGGCTTGATGTCAATTGACTTGATAGCAGCAAATGCAGACTGGATCTTTTCCCTTACCTCATACTGCTTCATAATTTTAACAACCTCATCCATAATGGCCCCAATAATCTTCTCCACCTCATAGCTAGAAAGGATCTCCTCTACTTTGGCATACATTATATTGAAGTTGTTAGCAAAGTTATGCTTCTTGATCCAAGCCATGATGGCGTCTTTCAATGATTTGATCACATTCATGACTTTGTCAGTTGGGAATTTGCCTGTGAGGTTGGACATGTAGTTTTCAATTGAGTTGATAAACTTTGTCAGGTCTTGGATAAAAAGGCTGAAGTCAAAGTTGTCAATGACATCCTTCAGTTCTGACACTTTGTTCTGCATTGTGGCACTGATCTCATACTTGGTGTTGGTGTCTTTCAGCATCTCAATGCTGTGGTCCATCATCCTCATCATTGTGGTCTTTACATTTTCAATAACTGCAGGCATATGCTCAATGAATGGGATCTGGATGAAGTGACTGTCACTGTTCTTGTCGTATTTCACAAATCCAGAAATGGCGTACTCTTGATTCGCCTCACTGAAGAGGGGGGTTGAAACAGCTCCTGACATCGCAATACCCAATCTCTCTGCGTTGTTAAAGGCATTAATTTCTTGATTAAAACTGTGCTCATCCACGGAGGATACCATCTTCAGGCTGACACTTTGCTCTTGGAAACTCAGCATGCTGTTGAACTTGTTGTCCATGTTGGTGTTGATAATTGGTCTGTTCTCCAGTTTATGGCTGGTTGAGGCTCTGTACTCAAATGATTGTGTGAACAACAGGGGTTCAGCCTTCAGGAGGAATTTGCTGTATACTTCACCGCTCTGCTCACCATAAAGATATGCTGCACCATTCGAGTTGAAAATGGCATCAATATTCAGAGTGAAGGGTTCAGCAACAGTTTTGACTGTACTGTCGAAACGAAGAGCTGGTGAGTTGAAGTTAGCCACACTGTCGAATTTCATGGTCAGACCAGCAACCTCCATATCAGTGGTATGTGTCATCTGAGCATGCATGAGTTTACCATTTGTAGTGCACTTTGCAGAGAGGACCATATCGACAAACTTGACTTCGTAAGTGTGCTTCAGCTCTTCCTCTGAAAACGCTCCCTTCATTGTTCCAGTCAGCTCCAGGTTGTAGGGCTCTGCCTTGAAATGGGCATCATTTACCAAGTTAATCTCCATGATCTTCAGGTCGTTTTTCACATTAACTGCAACAGTAAAACGCTCCATGTTAACTGTGATGTCATGCATGTATGAGTTTCTGTTGTCAAGGAAGTTGTCAGTCTTTGAGGTGAGGGTGAAAGATCCCAGTGAGAGAGACAGTGAGTGGATATTTTCGGTCCTCATCTCATTGCGAGATCCAACAATTTGATTGGACATGATCAAGCCATCTTCATTCAGTCTGAGGTTCACTCTGTTCAGGGTGTTGATGTCAAAGAGATCACCCTTGAGGATGGAGTTGAGATACACTTCTTTGCTTGCAAGCTTTCCTTCAACACTGAGCTCTGCCTTGTTATCTTTAACGGCTCCCTTGGTGGTGATAGACACGGTAGCACCAGATGTGTCAACTCCGGCATGGAAAACATTCTCGAAGGTCATTGGGCTATACTGAGCAGTCGTTGTACAGCTGGTGGTCAGTCCATTCTGGTTCAGGGCCAAGGTTGCCTTGTGAGAGGCAAGGCTTGAGAAGATGTTCAGGGATGCATCAGCATTGATCTCCAAGCCGGAGGGGTTCAGGGACCCAGTCAGCAAAGAGTAGGCACGGTTCTCGCTGTCATCAGCTTGATTCTCAATCCTGAGGCTGGCCTGTCCATCAGAGGCAGAGAACTCCATCTGGCTACGAACCATGCGCTCATCAGCCTTGGTCACAGAGTCAGACTGGATGGTAAGCTTGACCTCTTTGTAGCTAAGGCTCACTTTGGAGGTGTGCTTGATTGGTTCAGTGTTCATGTTGGTGTTGGACTCAATCAGAAGTTCCTCGTTTGCATAAGATGCCTTGATCTTGTTGGCGACCTTCAGGATTTCAGAGTTCACCCTCAGTGTACTCTCCAGTTTAGCTTCTTTCTTCGCTGGCTCAACAGAGAAAGTGTGTTGATAAGTGGTGCTGGCAGCCATGGGTCCAACAGTCAGGCTTCCGTCTGTGTTGATATCTCCAGAGAGTATGTTGGAATCTATGGTGACCTGGGTGGTAATAGTCAGAGATGTGTCCAGACCCACAGGAGAGGTGGCATAGATGTTATAACTTCCTGTTGACAATACACTCTCTGTGACGGCAATGGTTTCAAGCACATTAAAACCTGTGTTCAGGAGCATGGTCTTCATGGAACCATCAATGTTGAGTTTCATATTGCCTTCTGTTGTGTCAGTGATTGTTGCAGCTCCTTTAAAAAAAGACAAAACAGTAAAACATTAATTAGCATCAAATGGGTTGTTGTGTCTATAGAATTGAACTGAAAATGTAAAAAAACTACAAATCAAAGCATGAATAAATATTAAATTACCCTCAGTTGAGAAGCAGAGAAGTTTGATTGGACATTCAGCCATGACGCTGAACTTGGCCATGTAGCTAGGAGTCTCTTCACTGCTGTTACCAGCAGATGCAGTTGCTTCCCAGTCATAATAGTTGCTGTTGAGTTTGGCAAATGCTTCCATTTTGCCCATCAGAGGCAGGCTGAGATCATATTCAAGAGGGATGGTAAAAGTGGGGATTTGGATCTCCCGTGAGGCAAAGTCGATTTCCAGCTGAGGCACGGAGAAGTGTGGAGAGTTGACCATTGAAGGTATCCTTAGCTCCTCAGATGATTTGCCTCCTAGAGGCAGGGGGACAGTGATGGCCAAACGCTCCTGGTTGAACTTGTATATGATGTTGCTATCCCTGGTGAAATTATTAGAGAGGAACATTCATTATTATATAACTTTAAACAGACATTAAACTTTTAAGGACATTTACAAAAATGTATATACATTCATACTATTAAATGTGGTGTTTACTTACAGGTTCATGAATAGATTTTCAGGCATGGAGGGCATTTCCACACTTGCAATCTTGTTCCTCAGAGTCTCAACATAGGGAACATCAGCTGAGATCTTGTTAATCCAGATATCACTGGCCTGATAAAAAAGCAGCACAGTTTTCATGCTTTAGTCTAGAACAAGAACTAGAACAAGGTCTGCTCAAATAGTTGTAATTATTATACTTGTTTCACCTCGACTGCCTTGTTGATGACATGACGCACTTTCATGTCGGTCTTGACAACCTGCTGGTCCATGACATCCTCTGCAAGCTGCCCGAGCCAGGCCTGGACGGCTTCAGTGTAAGGCACCAGGATCTTAGTATCTGCATTCATGTTGGACGTGAGCTGAACCTCGGCCTGGTCTTCACCTGAGATACAAACCATTTCACATTTTATGTTTCCATTTGAGACATTGTTTTGTCAACATCTATCTTTAAAGACATTTTAAAATATTTTTTTCAAACAGACATACCATATTTGAATATGACTGCCTGAATGGAGGAGGTCTCTGGGAGCTTGACATCACTCTTGATCTCAAGGGTGAGAACATCAGCATTTCTCATGGTAGCAGTGATAGCAGCGTCAGTCTTCATTGAGGGGACCAACAACTGAATTTGCATCATGCCATCAGTCATGGTCTGAAGCCTGTGATTATTTAAAACAAAAACAATTCAGTTAATACCACTATATAAAAACACGCATTTCCTGTTGTTGACATGTAACAGTACTCAGCTCTGAGTTATATTAAAATGTAGATGTGTTAAGCAAATATTTTAGCTTGTTTTACTCACTTGGCACTGCCAATCAGAGAGAGCTGGGGCACGTTCTTGCTGGAGATCTCGAGGACAATGGATTGGCCTTTGGCAATGCTGTCAGTCATGCCAATCTTAACGCCGGCCTCAACATCAAAGTCAGGTACCTGGATCTGGGTGGTGAAGACATTCTTGTTCCTGTTGTACTTCATAGTGGCTGTGGCCTCGGATGGCTGAGAACCTATAGCAAGCAAAAGTATAACTTGATTACTAATGTAAACCTATAAAATGAATAAGGACGTTAGAATGCCACATAAAATAACTTTTATAATTATGAAGGTTTTTTCTCAAAAAGATGATCATACCCTCAGCTCTCAGAGCCAATGTCAGAGAATCGATTTTCTGGAGACCCTCCTCTCCTTCCCTGAGGAGTTTGTAGGCGATGGTGGCTGTGTACTCAGAGACCTCGTCAGAGGGCTTGATGTCCAAAGCAAACCTAGGGTGATAAAAACAAAGTTTAAGTCTCTCTCTCAACTTCTATGAAGTTGTACTGTGGGTCTAGAAGTAATTGTGTATTAGACCTCTGACTGATTGCTTCTACTAAACAGTATATATGTTCTTACTGACAAACGAGTAAATTACAGAGGAGATATTAAAATGATATGAAATTGACATATTTTTAATGAACAACTTACTTGGTCTCTCCATTCAGGGGGAAGTAAGGCACAGCAGTCTTATCACCAGTTGTTGCGCGGATTGTTTCGGTGCAGTATTTGACTCCAGAGAAGAGAGGTCTGCAGCTTGACTCACCCTCTGTGTGGGGGATCACTGCAGACTGGCCAGCGCCCACAATCATCACTTTATTGCTATTTCAAAGAAAAAACAACAAACATCAGTTTCCATTTTCCAATATTGCTGTTTAAAATGCAGAAAGAAATACTGCCATTTACTTCTAAAACTCTTTAATTTATGAAATATAACATGTATTTATGTACTTTATGGTTTTTGTTACCTGATGCTCAAAACCCTTGTGGTGCCCTGTGGGGCGGGGATGGAAAGCTTGACCTGGCCTTGCTCCATGGTAATCTTGGCATTGAGTGTGCTTTCATGGTAAATGTTGGTGTGCATCTCAACAGCGGACACAACGAATTCAGGGACATGGACTCCCATCTTAGTCACAAACTCAACTCCAATAGAGGGCTTGAACAACAGCTCCTGCTGTTAAATAAACAACATGTTTGATTTAATACATTACAGTCGTGAAATAATGTAAAATGAAACTGCTAATATAATAGAACAACAATTGTTATTGAGATATATATATATAAAATAAAACATAATTGAGGAAGAACATCAATAAAGGGTTAGGTTTGAAATGTACCATGTTTGGAGCCATGCGAATGCCTCCCTTTGCTCCAGGAGTGAAGGTGCCAGACAGAGCAAATGTCAGAGGCATGCCGGATGCTGTTGGCATGATGAATTTGTTGTCCATGAAGATGTAATGGGCAAAGAGCTCATTGTCAGTGTTGGACATCAGTTTAGCCATAACCTGATATAAAAAAAGAAAAATGGTTAACATGAAATCTATCTTGATGTGGAAAAATAAAAATAAAATATTAAGTTGACAACAACAACAACAACAACAACAACAACAACAACAACAGCAACAACAGTATAGAACAGTACCTGGGAAGGAATGATCTTCAGGAAAATCTCTGCATACATTAGTGCATTATCAGCAATAAACTTCAGTTCGCTGCCCTTGATGAAGCCAAGCTCAGCTCCCATAATCTTCAGGTAGGCCATGGCCTCTGGGGACTCTTGACTCTGCAGATCCTTTACCAGCTTGTTGAAGTTGCGAACAATTTCTCTTACAAGATTTTCGGGAACCTGTGTAACAACGTTTGTATTAGATGTGGTGATATCAGTAAAAATTACAACTTAACTGATAGAGTTAAACATACATTAAAGTTGAACATAAATTAAACACAATATATACCTTGCGCCCCTCTGTGTCCATGGGAGATACCCATTTATCCATTTCCTGTTTCATCTTTGGTGGCATCTTTTCCAAAGTCCAGTACATAACCTTTCCCAATGTGTCAGGGAAGAACCCGTTCTTTCCAAACAAAGCATCAATGGTTGGCTCAAGGCCCTTTCCTTCCATGCCAATCTATTAAAAAAAAGTAAGATTAGTTCAGAGACAGTGTGGGTTTAGTGTGTTTAAGTCTGCCTCAAGGACGAATGATATTTAAGGGGCAGATTGGTATACTGTTAAAAAGTCCAACAGACCAAATAGTAATAAAACACCTATTCTATAGTTTTCTGCCAGTAAGGGTAAAACAACTATTTGAAACAGCAACACATTGATGATTATTATGACCTAGAGTGTTACATACCTCCCAAAGATCCATGTCAAAACCAAAAACTTGCAGGGTAGTTTCCAGCAGCACCTCTCTTGGCAACTGGCTACTGGGATCGAAGACCATGTTGCCCTGAATGGCGGCCTGCATATTCTCATTGGCCATGCCCAGCTTGTAGTTGCGAGACTTTGTGCTGTAGTCACTGTGTGTGGCGACTTCAGTGTCCTCCAGGGCATCCACGATCCTCTTTCCAAGCCTGGAGAAATAATGAAACAGAATATTAAATATCAGCTGAATTTAGGAAGTTTGGTTGTTACATGACCAAAGTATTTCCATTAAATAAAGCATTTATTGTGCTGTTAGTTGAAAGGTGTTCCATTCTTACTTCATGGTCTCTGGATCAGTGGAGGAAATGATATTGTAAATGTGGGAGGTAACAAAGGACTTGATCTGCATGTTCTGCTCCTGATTCAGCAGCTTCTTCACTATCTCGATGTCACTATCCTGGGGATTTCTCATCAGGATCAGGTAAGCTGCCAGGCGCTTCTGCACAGCACCCTTGGGGTACTGGCTGACCCTCTGGAGGTTAGAGCGAATCTGGATGGAAAAACAACAGTGTTAGTCATTGCGGAATCTCAATAACACCATAAAATTGGGACTCAAGCAAGTGTTCATCTGTGGAGGGGGGCGTTAGTTACCTCATCAGTAGGAGACATAAGTCTGAAAGCCTGGATGGCAGCCAGCTGTACAGACAGTGTGGTTGCAGGCTGTCTCATGCACTTCAGCAGGGTGTTCTTAATTGCAGGGTCGGCTGCCTCCATTGCATCTCCCATATTACCAACAACCTGGATGGAATAGTATAGATAGTAAGAAAAAACGTGGAACTGGATGGTGCCTTTTTAAGTTTTTAAGGGGCCTGTGTGTACAAGATGGGTACATACCCTCAAGGTCAGGAAGGTCAGATCTTTATCCCCAGCGCAGTCTGCGCCCAGCAGGGAGGACATGAACTCAGAGACAGCAGAGATCTCGGGGGTGACACCTTCAATCCTGTACAGTCTAGAGACAAAGTTTGACATTAATTTTCAACAGAAACCACCACTCACTGCTAGAGTATTGAAGAGGACTTTCTTTAGATTAAAAAAAAGAAACAAATAAAGGTTTACTTACTTCCTCACTGCATTGCTCAGAGCATACATGATGGGTTTGCTCTGCTTGTACTGAGCCATTGCCAGCATGTCCTTCACCATGAGAGAGGAGGGGTTGTGCAGCAGTCCCAGGGCGTAGACACTGGCATCGACCTCAAGAGCACCACCATCGAATCTCCTGAGAACCTTCAGCATGGCGCTGGTGCACTCTGGGGTGCCGCACTGAGCCAAAGCTTGCCATGTCAGAGGTTCGGACATGTCCATCATTTCAACAGTAGCAGATCCGAGTACGTCGACCTTCAGGCCACGCAGCTCAGACACCAGCTTGTGGAAGAGGCTGGCGCGTTCCTCACCCTCAGTGGTCTGTGACAGGGTGTTCAGCTGCTGCATGGTGGCAATGACAGCATCCTTGGTCTGCACAGGGGACTTATCGTCAGCAACCTCCATGGCCAGCTCCACAAACTTGTTCTCATCTGTAAAGAGTCATCACAGAAGAAAAGGTGAGAAAATGCATGCAACAAATGTAATGCATTTAAAGCACTGAGCATTTTTTAATTTATTTTTCTTGTAACACTCACCGCGTTCAAAGATTCTGTCATTGATCTTGGAGGTCTCTCTCAGAGTCACAGTCTGCTTCACCACAGTAGAAATTCCATATTCATTCCTGTTTGCGGAAGATGAGACAAATTCAACAAATTAGTCATAAATAGGAAATTATTACACTTCATTTTACATACCAATATTACTCAGACTAAGGTTAGAAAAGAGCCCACCCCCCTTAGTTCACTTACTCAGTTTCACTTATTCCTGGATGCCAATGGGATCATGACTACATTCTTTGATCCCATAAAAACTAGATATTGCTGTTTGACATTCGACAAAATGTTTACTTTACTTTACAATACATTTTCACTTCTATTCACTGAGCCTTTGTGTACCAATTTGGATCCTCTGTTTAAAGCATATATTAAATTAGGAAATTCCCTAAACTATGTACAAAAGGGATACAAACAAAAAAAAAAATCGCTTTTTTGTTACAGTAGCATGGCGCTCAACCCACTTTAGAAAAAAGTCACTTTGATACCATAAGATTTTGTGAATCAGATACTCCTCAATTGTTTCCTGCATTATTTTTTCTTAAACTTACTGGTAGGAAAGGGGCAGGAAGATGTGTTTCTCTGTGCAGGTACCGCTGGTCATGTGCTTCTTCTGGTTGTCAAAGTGGTAGTTGCAAGTCTGGGTGCTGCTAATCATCTTGGACAGAGGGAAGTTCTGATGGTGAAGAGACAAACACATTTTTGTTAGATTCTCAAGAGCAGACTGTTGGAAAGTAATGAAAATAATATGAAAATAGCATCTCAAAGCTTCACGTCAATAGTAAGTAGTGTTTATTTTACTAGCTTTGTAAGTGGATTTATACCATGAAAATGTAACTTAATCACTTACCATGCCTGTGATGAGGGCCAGAGGACTGGTGACCTGCCTGTGGGCAATGAAAAAGTCACATTGGGACAGATCCCTGCTGACAGTCACATCGGTGGCGATATCCTCTGTGGTGATGACGCTGAAGTCGGTGGGGCATATTCCATGAATGGTGGCCTGAAAATTACAAGAGGCATCATCAATACTGAGGAAACAATTCAAAAACACCAAGTTGCTTGTTGGACCTTGAATCTGATTATCAATTGATCTGAAAGATTGCCCCCATTATGAGAGCAGGTGAGGCAAGATTAACTTATCTAGGACTTTGCCCTGCAGTTGAAGAGTGTCATCGAGAGAACATGATTACATGAGGTTTTATCACCTGTGACAGGCGCCGCTTATCTTCTCTATTATGCAATTTCTTTATCTTAGCATGAGCTTACAACATGATCAGGATCAAGCTCTACCCTGTCCTGAATTGATTGGAAACTGCTGTAAATACTAACGAAACAAAAATAAGGCAGTAAAACAGTAAGATGAGCTACCATTTGTTTGTTCTTCTCCTCTTCCATTACTGGCACGATGAGAGCAGAGACGATTCCTCTCTTGATGTTCAGGATGTTGACAGGCTCGTCATCCTCGGGGTAGAGTTGAACACGGAGGTGTCCTTCAACTGTAATCTTCAAAGCGTTCCTGTTGACGTGGACACATAATTATTGACAACCTGCCATTCAGCCCATCCCTTTACTTTGGTTTTCCTATCATTAGCCACTTTTCTGATCATACAGCCCCAGATTAAGAGCTAAATAGCACAGATGAGTTTTACATTTTAACTGGAAACATAACAACTTACTTGGCCATGGCAGATGTGAAAGCCTGATTTTCATCGGCAGGACGATACACTGCGTTTCCTTCTGTGTCCACGCCAGAGATCTCGCTCAGAGAGCACTCTGTTGTGCGCAGGATGAAGCTACAGGTCTGGGGCACTTCAACTTCAACCTGTGCAGCAGATTAAACATTTCATTAGGACTATTGTTTCTACTTTAGAGTCACAGCTAGCAGTAATGGTCACGACATACTTTGCAGGAGACTTTGGGGCCGCTCTTGTTGTCAGTAGCTCCGTTCACGCCGTTAGAGGTCTCAGCTTCATAGTCGTACACAAAACGCCGGAAGTTCTTGAATCGTTTTGCCACTGAAATGTTTTAAACATCAGTTAGATCTCTGTCATGTTAAAGTTTAATACACTGAACATCTCTTTGACATTCTATACGAAATACACAGATTTGATATGCCTTTAAATAGTTGAAAACTAAGAATACATGACAAATGGTTATTAACATGTTAGGTTATCGATAGGATTCAAAGAGGCAAATCACTTTTTTTTTGTGCATTTACTAAGTTAAATCACATCTTATAATAATCAATAAAACAATTTCAATATTGAAAAAGAAACTCACATGGGCAAACAGGGGATTGTTCTTCAACACTTCCCACATCTTGCTCTGTAAAGGAAGCACACATTGTTTATATGACATTTAAAAAACTGCTACGAAGGTTCAACTCAAGACATTCGAAAAGTTAAGAATATTTTTAAATCATTATAAAGCTCTAATTATTTATATTCGTGCTCTAAACGTTGAATTTAGCTTGTCGTCAAATTTGAAAAGGATTTGAATAAAATTAAAGCAGAGTACAAAACAGGCTATGAAATATTGTCAACAGCAACATCCTAAAGGGAATTACCCTGTTAAAAGCCACTACATGTTTCTCTCAAATAAACTAACATTAATAATTTAAAACTGCATCCTTAAATTCTATTTTCTTTATTTTTATATAAAAACACAATACTTACGGGCTAGTGTGGATGTGCCCAGCAGCAGCAAAAGGCAGAGCTTGATACTCCCCATGTTTGGCTAGTATAAAACTCCTGTAGAGTCTTCCTCTTTCTGTGAAGACTCATTCTTATGCCGTGGTCCCTTGGCTTTTATACTCCCCCAACCTCACTGATGTGACTACCAGGACTTGCGAATGTGTTGCCCTGGTTCCAAAGTTTGAGTAGTCTGTGTGGCAGGCCAAAGGTTAAAACATTTCACAAACTAGTAATGTGAACATATATTAATGTTCTTCACATATCTTGATTTTCAAAAAGACAACTTTAATTGCTTGTCTGAAGTGCTCAAAGGGCAGTTCACAAACAAACTAATTTCAGCAAAGCAAGGGGATTACTTATTTAATATTTGTATTTCAGTTGTGTGTGCTATCCTGTTTTTATTTTTGTAATGTTCCAAAACCATTATCTTTAAGTCAATTCATTGTTAAAAAATAAGTGAATACTCTGTAGTTCTTTACTGATTTTTTTAACAAAGGTTAAACTATAACGTTCACAAATAAATGAAGGCAAGTGAGCCTTTGTCCCTTGATTGCTGAACAACATGATTCATATTCACACAGAATCGAAACCTTAGTCACCTGCTGCTTTTTACAGCACTTGGAGTTTTATCACTACATTAGCGAATGTCTTAAAGCTGAAGCTTTTTTTTTTTACCCTATATGATCTTATTCTATGCCATTTCATGCCATACTGAATTATATTTTAAATATTACAGCTGTATCAGATAACATTAAAATGTCTGCATTACATTTCAGTGTCTCAAATGTTTTATTCATACCTAATCATTTCTATATCTAGTTTACTTCTGCAGCATTTTCAGTGACTAACTTTGCAGGAAATAGTAATGTTGTATTTTTATAGTGTGGTATAAGTACTTCTGCTAAAGGAAAGGATCTGAATACAACCAAAATACATAAGATGTCTATCTATGAGACAGTTAAAGCCTAAGGTCAGGCTAAATGCTGTGTCCAATTGTACAGTGTTTTTCATAACTTTTATTTAATTATAATTTGGCTGAAACTACATTAACTTATTTCTCGGGCTCAGGCTTTGTCATATCTGTTCAAAGGTATGCCTCAAGTATGCTGGGACACTCAGGCACACATTCTTCTGATAAACTTACATAAAGACTGATGTTTTTTCATTTTTGGTGAACCTTTAACCTAAAAGTGATATGTGACAGCTGTTGGATCAGGATTACAACAGAGGTGAACTAGAGATAAGTTAATCAGGCAGAAGAAGAAGCCTGACAGTGACATTTCACAAGAGTCACAGCAGCACTGAGTAAAGTGATTACAGTACGTACAAAATATCTTATTGGCCTCGAGCAAATGGCCATAAATGGGGCGAAGCCTGCGAGCTAGTTCAGGCAGTCAACTCGAGCACTTATGCTGCATTCATACATAACGCCCCTTGCCACTCTACAGCCAACCAAACAGTCTCCTTAATATGCCGCTCTATTTAACCTGCCAGATATCTCTCTATGCATTGCTTGCTGCTGCTTTGCTGCAGCTACTTCTACGTCGCTGCTGCTTGCCTGGTCATAGTTCATTCTTTGAAGATGGCATTCTGCTGGTCTTCAAGAACTGTGGTTACTCAATTGTGTTGTGAAAGAAGTAGATCAGATCAATATTGTTCAATGTGTAACATGTGGTGTTTTTGTATGTCCACAGACCAAACTAATAGTGCTTTATAACATCAAAACCCCAAATCAGTGAATACGATCAGTTAAGACAAGCAGAAAACATGGAGGTACATTAAAAACATCGAAAAAAGTAAGTTAAAAGTGGGATTTATGAAAAGGATTTGATTACCCCATAAGGACCCACCGTGACACGGGTGCCACATGAACTTTAAATGTTCTGGAAAGTTCCTTATACCGCTTTAGGCAAGGCAAGGCAAGGCAAGTTTATTTATATAGCACCTTTCAAAGCTTTAGCCTTTATTTGATCTCATGAAGTCCCTTACACACTGAACAGTCTGGTGGGTCATGGTCCAGGTCATGTGATTGTGTGTTCCCATAGCAACATGTCCAAGATGTCCATGTGCCAGACTAACACATGTGACCTAACTAGCTGCATTTAAAAAGCTTTTTTTGTTGTTGCTAAAGGTCAAATTCAAGCCATTTTAGAATTAAGATGCTTACATAACATGTCCTTTATTACATTTAACCTGTTGTGGAAACATCTATTGATCAAATTGATATGAAACAAATGAGACAAACATCGCTGTAACACTGGTGTCACATCTGGACTTTAACCCTAAACTTTCACAGTAAACCCAAAGTGACATATATTTCTTATCACAATTAAAAATATGATTATGGTCTGCTCAGTTAATTTAGCTGATTCAATTATATTTAGTTAATATATTCTTTATTCTTCAATTCAAAGAATGTTCAAACTAATTAAAACCATAAAATCATCCTCATTAATGAAGTTATATATAAGAGTTATTTTATCATTAAAGCCCAATGTGGCATATATGTCACATTTCAGATAGTTGACACTAGGAGGGGTTACTTGTCAGAAATGTGTTCTCGGTGATCTATTTAGTCTAAATTATTTTCCCCTTAATTTTCCCAAAAATAGAAATGGGTCCGGGTTCTTATGCTATTAAGAGCTAATTACATTAATGAGCACTTATATGAACGAGTTTAGGGAGTTCATTTCTACAAGTCAAAGTCATTTACCAAATGTATGCAAAGTAGCCTAAATCAATAGGGCCTGATTGTGTCTTGCATGTCATCTGGACCTAGGTTAGAGTCAGACCACTCATTGCTTCAAAACGGCTCAGCAAAATCTACTCACCTCTTCAACTGGGGTGACACAGTCAGTTGATGTAGGTTTCATAACCACTGGACTTGGTACGAATTAGAGATAAGATTATTGACTGAAATACAGAGAAATGACAAAATGATACAGAGAAAATTCCTACAAGGAAACCAGATGGAGAGAAAAATGTTCACAAGCATCAACAATAAATACATCATAAATATTTACTGTATGATACCTTAGATTTTCACCTTACAATACATATCAATCTATATATAGCTGCAGAGTACTGTATTGTTGTTTTACGGTGATGATTTGTTTTAACTTTCCATCAACAACAAAGCCTACCTGTCATGGGAGTTTTAATTTTCACTTTTTGTTCAGAATCATAATATAATTGTTGATATAAATGAGGTTGATTCAATATAAAATAATAATGTATAATGCAATAATATGTAACACTATACAACTGTACATTAGGCTCCAGTATACCCTTCATGTTGGTATTAATATTTCAGGTATTAATTTAAAAAGTGCAAAGTGCACTTTTTGATGTCCTTTATACATAAATATGTAAGCAAATAAAACCCTTTCTCTTTTCCTCCGTACCCAAATCTTTTAAAAATGGGGGTACAACGAATGGATACAGATTTGCTGCCGATATGACGTCAAATCGGCGGACGACCCACAGAAACTTGCTATCAGAAACAATAGGCTTGTTTGAGACAAGCGAGACCTGTGCAGACCTGCGCAATTGCGATCAACGTCTTGCTAGTGCGTTGCATGATGGTTAGTCATTTTGTCCGACTTGCTCTGGAGGCTCGCCTACATGAAACGTTGAAATCTCGCGGGACAAAGACGCCCGCAGCCTTGAGAGCGAGGCGCGGAAGCGAAATGCTTGATGGGAAACGACTCGCTGGTATCTCGAGCTGAGCGCTCATTGGTGGTTTTTACCCCGTGCTGCTGAAGAAACTCTCCAATTGGCTCGGCAAAAGTTTGTGTCAGTTTTACGTCGCCACTTCCATTCACATTTTTCATCATTGTTCCACAATGTTTATCATCATGAAATTAATATCTATATATTTTATACTATACTTGCACTGCTTACCGTTTTCACACTTTATATATCTTAGCATATTCATACACACTGTTCATACTGCTCACAGGCTGCTGTGTGTATCTAGTGTATTCATACACACTGTTCATACTGCTCACAGGCTGCTGTGTATATCTAGTGTATTCATACACACTGTTCATACTGCTCTCAGGCTGCTGTGTGTATCTAGTGTATTCATACACACAGTTCATACTGCTCACTGGCTGCTGTGTGTATCTAGTGTATTCATACACACTGTTCATACTGCTCTCAGGCTGCTGTGTGTATCTAGTGTATTCATACACACTGTTCATACTGCTTTATTCATCATTCAATTCATTAATTACTTTTCACTTTACTGCTTTTTGCACTCCTGGTTAGAAGCTAAACTGCATTTCGTTGTCTCAGTACCTGTAATCTGTGCAATAACAATAGAGTTGAATCTAATCTTGAGCAGGAACAAATGTATTTACTTAGTACATATTTGACGTTAACGATTAAACACATGTGTGCATTCTTTATAAAGGCAAACCGAGTCAAGCCGACTCCGGAGGTGGCGGTATGCACCTTAAAGTTTTTTACAATCCGCCAAAAAACCGAGAGAAGAAGAAGAAGAAGCCGACTCCGAGCTGTCCGACTTCAGGCGAGCTTTTTGAGACCTCCCCCGGCTGCGATCGGCTATTCTCGTCTACTTTCGAGGCGAGCCGCAGCTCGTCTCAAA